TGTCGCCTGGATTTTATTTGATACAGGCTGCCTCATAACTCACGGCTAATCAAGAATTTCATCCCGCGCTTTTCAATTACTTTCGCGCGTAAATATACTCGAAACAATATTTTTCTCAACGAAATTCTCTCGAGAAACTCGAGCTTTCAATGATTTCACGAAAAGAGATTTCATTCTCACACGGTTGACCGCGAATCGTTGAACACCCTGTACATTAGGTCAACGTTTGAACGTTGATTCTCTTCGGTTGCTATTCTTCCACTGAAGATTGTTTGGTATCTTTGGAAAGTTCTGTGCGCGTGTTCTAATGAATTTTCGGATTTTATTTCCTTCTAAACTTTCTATGCTTCTGCAGATCCATGCTCCTTTCTGCACGGAAACTTTCAGTGCTGGCTTGAAATTTGAAATTCTCTCCCTCATTTTTTCTAACTGTTGTCGGGAAAAATTTCGAATTTCACTTTTCAATCAAAAAAATCAAAAAAAAAAAAAAAACAAAAATATTCCGAGACCAATATTCTCGTCTTTTCTAAAAAAAAAAAAAAAAATTCATTACTTCTTGGTAGTTTCTTAGTATCAGAAATAACACTTATCAAACACTGTATGTCGTATGACAATTAGAACGACGAGGTTTCACATTGGCGAACGTAAGTGAGCAGCCGCGTTTCGAAGTTTCAGGTTTTATTCGCGAGCGACAGTGCGTAAAGCAATTGGAAAAAAAAAAAAAAAATACTAAAGCACAAATGTACGAGCAATTTTTTTTTCACGCGAGTGCGAATTTTAATTTTCGTCGTCTCTGACGACAAGACAGTTTCAGACTTGAAAAAAAAAAATCTATAAAATGTCCAAAGAATAATTTTAACAATGGCAGACAAATAATTTTTCTATCCTTTTATTTTCGTTCAATTACAAATATCGATCATCGTCGGAATTATTTTGTGTATTATTAATAATCATTTGAAGAAGTTTTTTTTCCCACAACACTACATTCAATTTCATCGTAATTAAAACATTCGCTACTGAGACGAAAATATCTTTTTTTTTTTTTTTTTTTTTTTTTTCAGAATTGATTGGAACAACTCGACTCCTCTCGGTATGCAATCGAGCATACTTCTCGAAGGAATTGACAGAGATTACGTTCGCTTTGTTCTCGCGATACACTGCGAACAACAATGACATCGTTCAATTTCACTGTCGCAGAAGCGAATTCAACCTGGCGCGAACGAATATTTGAAGGAGCAGGCTTCTCTTCGTTCGAGAACGTACGAAATCCTGCCACGTGACAGGGAGAACAATTTAAAAAAGAAAGAAAGAAAGAAAGAAAGAAAGAAAGTAGAATTTCGATTATTTCGAAAGTTAAGAGATTAGAGAATTAGAGTTGGGAAAATTAATGGTTAATTAAAGTTAAATTAAGAAAAGTGACAAACGAGGAATCAAAAATGTGATGTTTCCAAATCTCAAATGTACACCAGAGAAAGAACCTTATACACGCGTGCGCAAAATTGAAGAGTTAAGGAAATTAATATGACTGCTTAAAAGGATTAAATTCAAAATTAAACAAAAAAAAAAAA